CCCCCCCCTCACGGATGTCCTGCAGCATGGTGTCACGGCCGAAGCGCGTGGCACCGATCCTGCTCGGGCTCCTGGCCATGCTCCTCCTCGGTGTGCAGGCCTCCCGGCTGGCCCCGGATGGGCCCGCCTCCAGCCAGCAGAGCCCGGTGCCTCTTGCGGCCGGCCGCCGGGCGCCCACCGCGACGCACCTCCCCCATGTGGCCCCGCCTTCACACCCGGCCGGCACATGGGCCGCCGCCTGGCTGGCCCTCGGGGCCGATGCGTATGTCGGCCTGTCGGGCGCCGGGGCGACGCGCCTGGTGGCCGGGCCGGATGGCGGCCTGGCCCTGGCAGCCCGGCGGCCCGGCGACGACGCCGCCCCCGGGGGGCTGCTCCTGTTTGACGCCTCCGGCGGCGGGCCCCGGCTGGGCCAGGCCCCGGCGCCAGGGGAGCCGTTCGCCGGGCGCCCGGTCGGCGGCTTCCCCGACGTGCAGCCGGTGACCGACATGCTGGAGATCGGCCTGCCGGCCGGGCCCGACGGCTGGCCGGTGCGCGCGGTGGTCCTCTGCCAGGCGGGCACCCGGGCCCGGGGGTTCGTGGCCCGGTGCGAGGTCGGCCCCCGGCCGGCCCCCGGGGCCCGGTGCCCGGCCACCTTCCTGGCCATCTTCGACGAGGCGGTCGACGCGTGCCACCTGCAGCGCCTGGCCAGGCACATGGTCAGCATCCGCCACCGGCACGCGGCCACGGTGCTCACCTTCGACGGGGCCGGCCTCCGGAGCGCGGCCACCCTGCCCGGCGGGAGCCTCGATCATCCGGCCGTGTGGGCGGCCGCCGGGCCGGGGCGCTGGCTGGTGCCCGGGCCGCAGGGGCTGCACGTGCACCCCGCGGGCCTGGCCGGCCCGGTCCCCCGGCCGGCGGCGCTGCCCGGGGCCAGCCCGGTGGTCCTGCCGGCCGGTGGCCCGCTGCTGCCCGGGCGCCCGGGCCAGCTCCTGGCCAGCCGCCTGGAGCCCGATGGCCAGCAGGCCGCCTGGACCGTGGTGCACCTTGCCCCGGGCGGCGCCAAGCGGACGCTGGCCCGGCTGCCGGCGGCCTGGCTGGCCGGCGACCGGGCGCACTTCCTGCCGGTGCCCCTGCCCCCGGGCGCCGGTCTGGCCATGGTCACCGAGCGCGGGGCCGTCCTGGCGCCCGTGCACTGCCAGCCCGGCGACCGCGACCGCGACCGCTGCCAGCCGGCGGCCCCGACCATCCTCGAGGCCCCGGCCGGGGTGACCCTCTCGCCGGGCCGGGCGAGGGTCGTGTCGGCCGCCGGGCGGACCTTCCTCCTGGCGCCGGATGCCCACTCCGGGGCGGTCCTGCGGCTGGACATGCCGGCGGCCGGGGCGCCCGGCTGGACGGCTGGCCCGGCGAGCCTGCCCTGTGACGCCGGCTGCGCCACGTGCTCCGGGCCCGGGGCCCAGGAGTGCACCTCCTGCCCGGGCGAGCTGGTGCTCCAGGCCGGGGCCTGTGTGGCCGAGTGCCCGGCCGGGGCCTTCGTGTGTGAGGGGCCCGCGGTGGGGGCTGGCGGCGGTGGCGGCGGCGGCCGCCAGTGCCAGGCCTGCCCGGCCGGGTGCTCCGCCTGCCGGATGGCGGCCCCCGGGCCCGGGGGGGCCGCCTGCCTGGCCGAATGCACCGCCTGCGCCGGGGGGCAGGTCCTCCATGAGGCCGGCTGCGTGGACGCCTGCCCGGTGGGCTTCTTCCCCCGGGCCGGGGCGCCGGTCGCCGCGTGCGCCCCCTGCCACAAGACGTGCGCTGTCGGCTGCACCGGGCCGGAGGCCCGCGACTGCGACCACCAGCCGCCGAGCTACGCCGACGGCCTCGGTACGTGGGGCCCGCCCCCTGCTCCCCGCGCCCGCCCGCCCGCCCGCCCGCCCGCCCCGCTCCACATTCTAACCCCCTGGTGCTGTGGTCCTCGCGCCCTGCCGCCGCTCGCGCTCCCTCGCCGCCTCGTGCGCCGCATCGGCCGGCCGGGGGCATTTCCTCCGGCCCCACGTGCAGCCATCGGGCTCGGCGTGGTGTTCCTGACTGCCACCGTCCTGCTGCTGGGGCTGATCGCCTACATCACCATGCGGTACATCCAGCGGCGCCGGGCGGCCCAGAACAAAGTACGGCAGGACACCGCCGCCGGGCAGGCCGCTGCCCCGGCGGGCCAGCGCCCCAGGGCATGCGCCGCCCCCGCCGCCTCCCTGTAAGCTAACCCGTAGTCTCGCTCGCGTTCTCTCTCTCTCCCGCCCCCGCCTCCCGGGCCTGCGCTCTCGCCCTCCTTCCGGCCGGTGCAGGAGGCCCGCTCCGAGGACCGTACGTTCTCGCCCGGGCGCGCGATCGCGTGCCCCTCCCCCTCGCGCCCCCCGCTGGCCCCGACCCGCGCACTGCCCCCCTGTGCTGACCCCCCCCCCTCCCCCCCTTCGCACCCCGTCCACACGGCAGGAGGCAACATGCTTCACTCCCTGACCAGCACGTCCACCAGCATTTCGGTGTGAGTTTGCCCGACATGCGCCCCGGACGCACCCCAATACAGCTATCCTTGTGCGCATGCCTGCGTGTGTGTGTGTGTGTGTGTGTGTGTCCGCCATCGGCCATGAGGCGGCGCCCGAGGAGTGGGAAGGGGGCCCGGTGGGTCGCGCAGCCGGCATGCATGGCCGGCCAGGGCGCACAGAGGCCTGCACGCCCGGAGGCGCACGCACAGTCGCCCGAGCAGGCAGCGCAGGGGCCGAGGCCCACGCGCCGGAACCGACCCAAGCGCCCCCGGGCTGGCGTGCGCCCCGGGGATGCTCCTCGGCGGCGGGCCCTCCCCGGGCCGGC